CTAACTCCATCATTTATTGACCAAGAGTATTATGTACTCTTGTTAAACTGAGTTGTATCTATTCTGACAAAATTTCGGATTTACTACTGACATAGCTATGAAGCAAGATACAGTACTCTTGATGTGGAGAATGCAGCAATCCACAACTTGAAAGACCTCATTTTTAAAACTATATTTGTACAAGCATCCCAATGCAAATGAAGATATCTTTGTGAGGAAAAATGATATAGCTAGGTGGTAGCAATTTTTGGCCAATAGAATATTTTATATTTATGGTAATATCATAATAATCATTTTTACACAATGAAAATAATTGTTATTTGTGAGGCGACTTTTATTGTTTAAATTTTACAACTATGTATTTGTTTTTGATGCAGATTGTAACTCATTTCATTGCAACTAGATCTAGATGCAGTATAATCTATTCTATGACCAATGACTAAAGGCTTTTGATATGATCACTGAAATCTCGTACATTCAAAGTTTAAAATTATTACAGTTAAAATAGTTATTTTTACTTTATAAAGAGTTAAACATTGCAACAAATAAAGATTGAATGGAATAGAAGAACAAGAGGATTGATCCGCGGGAAGTTATGGTGTATATTCTGAATTCTTGGGAGTTGATCCGCATTCTAGGCACACGCCCGTGCACGTTCCGCGCGTTCACGTGCTTAATTGGTTCAGCGTGCGGAACGATCCGCAGCAATCCGCATTCTAGTAACGCCCTTTTTTGGAAAGGGTCGTCCCTAAAAAACGGACCGGACCGGACCAACGGACCATGGTCGGCGACAAATCTGTTATACGGACCCGAATAGTCCGCGACATCTCTATTTTACGGACCACTTTGCTCACTATACCGGTAATCTTACATATGCTAAAAATTATAGCTAATGCTTAGGTCAAGATTTACTCTTGCTGAAATCCTGCTTCTCGGTTAGATATAAGCCCAAACCTTCAGATATTGTGAATTTAACAAATTTATTCATGAAGCAACTGTATACAGCCTGAGCCTGGTACTGAGTACTGAACTTGGATGTTGTGCAGTGACTAGTCTACAAATGGTTTAAATATCTCTTACTTATTTGTGTCACTGTACAGCTTAATGCGGCAAGCACATACCACTGTGCTGTATTTTTTGTAAACTTCTGTTTAGACTGGTATATTTATTAACTATTTATTCTGCTAATAATTATTTATTTATCCATTTAGTAGTTAAGCGGAGGCTTGGTATTATTCACTAGCTTATTCTCACTAACATCATTGCTATAAAGATTATTAAAATTTTTACTACATAATATTAACAAGAACTACTTTTGGGATCAGTTCCAGTATTATTATTATTTATGTTGATTTATTTTCCATTAGATTCAGTTAATTATCATTATTATTATCATCATTACTACCGTTTTAATTTTGATTGTATTTTTACTTTTTCTTATTAGTTTTTTGTTTCTTTTTCTTTCTTTTCTCATCTTTTTTTTTCTTTACCTGGCTGGCCATGTTTCCTTGGTCAGGCCTTTGGTGTTTCTTTTTTATCTAGCCTCTTAACTCTATCATAGTTCTCATTGCCGGTCACTGTCAAGTTTAAATAAATAAATTAATACATAAATCGCTGATGCATGAATATAACAATTGATTATTATAGTCTACTAGATATAATATTATTATTAGTTTTGAACAAGTGTAAAATTAATTCAAGTTGATATTACAGACTTTATCAATAAACTACGGCCTCACTGCATTGTATTATTACTCAACTGATAGTAGATCTATCTCCGTAGATAAAAATTATATTTGTCACTGAAGTTCTGTATGTTGTCTAGGCCATCATGGAGTTTGCTAGCATCATAAATACTGATGCTAGCATAGATATCTGTGCTCTAGGTCGGTCAGGTCCGTGGTCATTAACGCGGAGTCCGTACTTTAGTCTTTTCGGGTCCCTTGGTCGGGTCAATAAATTAGTTTGTATCGGGTCCGTCGCTCGGTCCGTAAATTAGTCTTTTCGGGTCCGTTGGTCCGGTCCGGTCCGCTTTTTAGGGACAGCCTACCCTTTCCAAAGGCTATGGAAGCCCAGAAGGACACTCCGGTATCGGGTCCGAACTTTTCCCCGGTACCGGGTCCGGAGCTATTACCGGTATCGGGAATCCAGTACCGGT